CTAATAAATGGTTAGACAAACGTCTTCAGTTTAGATTATCAGTATAAGTAAGAGGTACTCTAATTAGCTTGAGGAGGAAATGCTAATGTGAAAAGAACTCACACTTGAGGAAGAGATTGTTAAAAATTGAAATGTAAGTTTAAGTCTTACGTTGAATAAAATAAGAAAGTTGAGCATCATACAAGGATGAAGACATAAACTCATTACTTAAGAAATTAGATTGAAGATAGAATCAATGACTTATATGTTAATTGAACTCATATATAATTGATGTTATATCTTCCTACCGATCCTTTCTCCAAAATTTTATTAAGAATATATTCTTTCTTTGAAATAAATATTTAGAAAGTATCTTTATAACATTTGAAAAAATATTAAACTATTTATTATTTTGCACATTTTAAAAAATAAAAGAAAAACAAGTTAAAACAAATAATTCCTAATTTATTTTCAAAGAATTTTTAATAGAGTTTTTAAAAAATAAGTAATTAGTTTATTTTAAAAACAAATATTCTAAACATTTTATAGTTATATTATTAATTCCAAATCCAACTCATTGATCTTCTTAAAAATAATCTCTTCAAATTCCATGGTCTAAAATTGTGTCTTTCATTACAATATGCTTACTGCATTCATGGAAGATGGGAGATTCTTGGATAATTAAATAGTAGAGTTGTTGTCAAATAGGTAGTAGCTTCTTTTTCTTCTAATTCAAGATGTTTTAGAAATCTTTGGAGTTAAATGCATTAATTCAGATATTCTATATACTCAACCTTAGTGGTAGATAAACCTACTACATGTTACTTTTTGAAGCCCATGACACAACTTCAGTTCTAATCATGAATATTGCTCTAGAGGTGTTACATCGATCATTTAAGTCTCCAGTATAACTATTATCACTATAAGTTGTGAGGTTTGTCTTCTTTCCTTTTCGATAGAGAATGCCATATTTAATAATGCTTTTCAAGTACCTTAAAATGCATTTTGTTGCAGCCGAATGTGACTCCTTTGGAATGCTCATGTATCTACTAATTAGGTTTACTCCAAGCATCAAATCTAGTAGGGTAATTGTGAAATACATGAGACTGCCAATTGCTTTCTTAAATGTGGTAGCATCTAATGGTGTACCTTCATCTTCTTTGCACAATGTGGTTCCTAAAATAAGTGGGTTTTATACATAATTGCAATCAACCATATTGAAGTGTTACACTTACATTTCGCAAAATGTGGTAACATCTACATGATATTTCTTTTATAAGTTAAGCAAAGTGAACAAGTTCCCTTTAAGGCACAAACATGCATTACATCTACATCTGATCTTCCTCCATGCATGACAACGTGTACATCATTTTTTCAAATTCATGACCTCTTGCATTCATGTCACATTTCATAATGCATAATATGCATAATAGTTGGAGAGGTTGCTCGTTGAAATGATTGTTTTACTTTTGGCTAAGGAGGCTGCCTTTTTAAGGCGTTGTGTGTGCATATGTGTGAAACAAATTTATTTATTTTATATTTATTTTATTGGTTTATTAAAAGAAAAGATTATTGGAAATTTTTTAATTTTTTAAACAAAATGTTTTGGTTTTACGTTAACTCTTCCCTTTTATTTAGTGGTTTCCACTTATGATGATATTTTTATACGAAAACAGATAATAGTATAGGTGTTGAGGAAGATAAATGATGATAATGAGATGGGTAAATATCAGGTGACATTTGGAATAATGTTTTAGTCTTAGGTTTTTTCTTTTCAATAAAGTATGTCTATAATTGAGTTTTTCAGAAAGCTATAAATAAAATTTTATTTTAAATTACGTAAGTTTGTGATAATTATAGATTTTAGAAAAAAAAATTGAATGTTATAAGAAAATTATTAAATAAGATTATAATAAGTCAATATTCATATATATATATATATATATATAATAATTATTTAAATGAATTAAATTGAACTATAACTAAGCTAAATTGATTTAAGGAAACTAAACTAACTAAGTGTATCTATTTTAAATCATTAAGATTATATAAATTATTTGAAGACTCATAAACTAAGTTTGATTTTAAATGTTTAATAAAAATGAGAAAGTTGAGCACTTATATTTATTATTTTAAGATTTTGAACTAGATGTGATATCAAGTTCTTATGTGTTGATTGGACTTGTGTTTTATTAATGTTATATTACTATGGTGAGGTGATCATCTCTCGAAAGACCATCAATATTATTAAAAACTGATGGTTCATCTTGAAGGTTAACTCATACAAGTCCATATAATAAAAGTGTTAACTCAAAGGAAAAATGTCATTATGAAGGGATCACACGAGGGAGAGATTCCTAATAAATGGTTAGATAAACATCTTCAATTTAGATGATCAATATAAGTAAGAGGTACTCTGGTTAGCTTGAGGAGGAAATGCCAATGTGAAAAGAACTCACACTTGAGGAAGAGATTGTTAAAAATTGAAATGTAAGTTGAGCATCATACAAGGATGAAGACATAAACTCTTTACTTAAGAAATTAGATTAAAGATAGTATCAATGACTTATGTGTTAATTGAACTCATATATAATTGATGTTATATAGCGGTCTTTCTCCAAAATTTTATTAAGAATATATTCTTTCTTTGAAATAAATATTTAGAAAGTATCTTTATAACATTTAAAAAAAATATTAAACTATTTATTATTTTGCACATTTTAAAAAATAAAAGAAAACCAAGTTAAAACAAATAATTCCTAATTTATTTTCAAAGAATTTTTAATAGAGTTTTAAAAAAATAAGTAATTAGTTTATTTTAAAAACAAATATTCTAAACATTTTATAGTTATCTTATTAATTCCAAATCCAACTCATTGTTCTTCTTAAAAATAATCTCTTCAAATTCCATGGTCTAAAATTGTGTCTTTCAAGTTTCAACACGTTTGGCACGTTTACTCAAATCATATTGATCAACACACAGTGTTACGTTTTGTGGGATAGAGTGCAAAAATAAAATACTGTAAGTTGAAATAAATAAATATATTAACATTCTGCATGATAATCAAGAGAAGAAAAAGGAATTGTAACGTAATTTACAACTATATGTTTGACTTCAAGATTGAGATGCTATAACTTTGGAGTATAAATTCGGTTTTATCACATTATGATCTGTAAGAGTACGTGTGCACTTAACATATTCGTTGGAAACTCAGTATTGTAAAGAAATACGTTGCTTTGATTTTTGCAAACTTAATTTTAATAGCAATTTAAGCGTCCTTTACGTAATTAAATTTTCTAAATTTATATATTTACATTAGTTCTTTTGAGACACATCACAATCTCACTATTCAATTGATTTTAAATTCAAATTAAAAAAATCACTTGTTATTTTATATAATATAATTTATATTAATCACAAAATTTTATATAATTAAGATATAAAGACAATTAACCACCTTACCATTTTACAAAAAAATAGATTAAAAAATATAAAAAATCTGAGAACTCGATGGGCAATTAATTGTAATAAAAACTCAGTTAAAATTATTCAAATTCATTAAAGACTCAAAAAGACTTAATTAAACTTATATTTAAAAATAGTCTCTTTTATTGACAAGAAAGATGGTAAAGAAAATAATAAACCCTTACTCAAACTAAGGTATAAATTTGAAGAAAACAATTATTATAATATAAAACCTATTTAAGTCTATACTTATTCTTTTTTATTTATTCAAACAAACATAAAAAAATTGGAAAATTTATTAAATATTTCCATTTATCCAAATAATATTTGTAGTTTACTTTGATAATTTAAATTTTATCTCTTTCTTTGAGTATTTGATTTTTCATTCAAATAAAACACGAGTCCCGCCTAAAAAACTTCAAATTACTGCACCATTTAACAATGACTGAAATATATATTAAATTATTATTTTCTAAAGTTAATACCGTGTAGAAACTAATACGAAAAACCACACCGTTGCAGACAAATGTCTGGTTATTCCGTAAATTTTAGAGTGTTTTCAGGAGTTTGTTAAAGATAAAGAAAAAAATATTTAATTTTTAGTTATTGTTTAAATAATTAGAAGAATTGAATAATTTATGAAGATATTTGTGTATTATTAAGACATATAAATGTTTTGAAGTGATTTTGTTATATTTGAATATTGTAAAGTATTGAGTTAAGAAGAGACATGGATAAAGATTTGAAGTGGTCTTGAATAAAAGAGGAAAGAAAGCATTTGAAGTGTTGCAGTTGGACGCACCTCGTTTGACGAGCTCAATATCCGATCTGGGCCCCACATTCTGGCGAACTAAGCCAATCACCACCTTTCTTTATTTCTTTCTCCGATTTTCAATTATTTTCTCTCCCTCTGTCACGCAACTCATATCATACATGTATCGTGTCATCTTCCAATAATCCTCTGTGTAACCAACACGATTGGCTCACACACTCTGCATTCGCTTCAATCGCAAAATGCCATCTCAGATCTTTCCCACATCCAACCGTTCTCTTGATTCCGCGGTTTCAACTTCTTCCACGGCATTCGTCCGTCCCAAAGAAGACCAAAATGACCCCTCCGTCAGCCTCCTCGATCACTCCGCCACCCCTTCCTACCGAGACTTGTCCCTCAAGCCGCCCTTGCCGCGGGCCTCCAGCTTCACCTCCTCGCGCACCAAACCCTCCCGCCCTCGCCACTCTTTCAATCAGAAACGCCGCCGCCGTGCCGCCAGCCAGGACTCCTTCCCCAACATCTCCGATCAGACTCACACCTCCACCCGCTCCTCCTTCGGCCGCGATGTCGCAGCCGAGACCTTTCTCTTGACTCGCCTTGGCTTCAAGATGCTCGGATACCTCGGGTATTATTATGTCCCTCTCCTATCGTTCCCTTCGAGATCCTGCATTCACCCAAAATAGAATATATTCATGTGTGTGTGTGTGTGTGTATAGAGTGCAAGATTTCAACAGTGTAATCAAACAATGCTGATTCCTGACATCAAAGGTGACACAAGTGACATGTAGTTTGGATTCTTTGACTGATGTCGGGGATCGACAAAACTGCATGTTTGGGTACTTAACTTATACTTTAACTATCGACGGGATTAGTTCGCCTAGCTATGAGATAGATACCCATGGGTCCAATACGGATCTAGTGTTATGTTTGGCAAAGAGGATGGAATTACAGTGGATGAAATTAAGAATAACGAGTGAAAATAGGTGTGAAATAAAGTGATTGTTCAGGTGTTTTGATTGAATAGAGAGAGAGGGAGAGCGGGGGAGAATGTGGAAAAACAAGTGAGAAATAGTTCGCTGGGTCACATTATTTTTAGTTTTGAAAGTATCTCGACTTATTCCTTTTTCTCCTCCGAACACACCTGATTGTTTCCATTGGCGCTTTGCACCTAATTTCTCACTTGCCAAACAGGGCCTACAAAATGATGTTTTTTTCTTTGTGGGTTTTTGAGGTTTTTCAGTATAGCTTGGTGTGACTGATTTGAATTGGTAATGCGATTGATAGGAAATCTTGTTATATATCTTCTTGAAAACTCCCATATTGTTTGTCTCAATTCTTAGGGTGCAGTTATATCTGTCTATTAAGAACCTTCAATTAATGGAAGTTGGTTTAAGATGAACTCTAACATCTCTGTTTATTTGTTTTACGTGATTAGTATTTTAACATATACCATTTGTGGATGCTCTCTGATCATTTATTTCTGTTCAGGGTAGGCTATAAATGGATTACACGATTTCTTGCCCTTAGTTGTTATGCACTACTTCTTTTTCCGGGCTTTATTCAAGGTCTGAATTCTGTGATCTATAACACTTTTCATACTTGTAATCTTATTATTATGTCCAGATTCTGATTTGAAATGCATTAATATCCCTCGACATTTACCGCGTTCTCTTTTATAGTTGGATATTACTATTTCTTCTCCAGTCAGATACGCAGAAGCATAGTTTATGGAGATAAACCTCGAAATAGGTATGCTTTATCAAAATTGTCTCTGTACATTTAAAAATTCCTTTAATCGATGCAATTTTAATAAATAGCTAATTTTCTTTTGCAGGCTTGACTTGTATTTGCCTAAAAATGGCAGCGGTCCAAAACCAGTTGTTGCTTTTATTACTGGTGGAGCCTGGATTATTGGGTACGTGATGTCTGTGCTTCATTTCAAAATTGCAAATTAACGTAATTAGGTGTAATAAGTTTTTTTTATGTTGTTTGGATTGAGAGGATGTTCCCTATCCATGGAATTGTTGATTGGTATATGAGCTTCAATTCTTATTTTTATCTCCTATTAAAAAGAGAAGTTCATTATATTTTTGCGCACCATTAAGCTTATACATCATGGTGGTGGTAGTAAGAAGGTTGCCAATTTATCGAGACGCATAAAGAAAGGGGTTGAACATTAAGTTTTGGAATTGTGTGTAAATGTCGACCACAAGTGAACATTTATAATGACAATGTTTCATAATTGTACAATTATCTCAATAAATGCTAACTTTTATCAAATGTTGCATATTGAAATGTTTAAAACTAGTATTTACATGTGCTATACTGAATACTCCCTTTCAAGCTTGGGCATATAAATAATATGCACCAAAATATTTCAACCTGGGAGATCCTTTGAAGGATTTGGTGAATATGTCAACAAATTGATTACTGAAACTGACAGTCAGTTTTAATTTTGCCTACAACAACTCAATAGCCTAATATGGATCTTCTTTCACATGGAAATCTTGCCCAATCAAAATAGTTTGGTAGTAGTTTGCAATCCTTAATATCACCTTTGTTCACACTTTAATCTTGATGTATTTGAGGGTGCGAACCATGAAATCCCAACGAGCATCACAAGCAGAATTTAGGAATTGATTTACCACATTTGCTACAAAGGATATTTTGTCTACCTATTAGGCATGAATAGCTGCCCGGGTCTTTCTATGCGTCCCCCTAACCTAGGAGTAGTTTGATGGCATTGGAATCTACAAAGATGTCACAAGGTTTTCAACCAATCCTACTTGTTTCCTAGAAAATGTCAAAGGCATTTGGGAGAGGCAGATTGAGCAGCTTCAATACCCAAGCTACAAGTATTTGAGAAAAGTCAAATCCTTGGTTTGAAACTGAACGGTCAGTCAGATGTTGCTATAGACAGAATTCCCTGGGTCATTTCCGGTGATGGCGATGTTTTCAATGTGAACCTCAAGATAATTGTGAGTACTAAGTCACCAAAATTATGTAAAAAGAGGTTTACATGGAGTAAATCAAACCGACTAATACTATATCAAGTTTGGTTATTATGTGTTAAGTGTTGGGCAACCCATGTTTATATATATTGATTAAAGTAACCGTACAATGATATCCCTAATAAATGCTACTTGAAAGACAAGTATTAATATCTGCTAAAACGAATATCTACATGTGCAGCCTGAGCTATATTTAATTGTATTATTAAGTAGTTTCAACCTGAGGAGGTTATAGTTATATTTATAATTATATACTTTTTTTTTTCCTTTTTTGACATTTATCATACCCTGTGCAATCAGAATAAGATGCTACAATTTCATTATTGAAGGGATTAACGTGTTTGTCTGTCTGTTGTATATAAAAACACACACAAACACGTTCACCACTTACCAATTCTGTGATTACTAGTTTTAAAGTATGTGTACTGTATTTGTGTAGTTACAAAGCATGGGGTACACTTCTAGGTCAACAGCTATCAGAGAGGGATATTATTGTGGCATGTATTGATTACAGGTGATACTTCCTTCCCCAACTTTCACATCTGTAAGGCTCTAGGTAGAAGCTATCTGCCCATTAAAATTGTTATGGAGACAAATATTCTGTTGTACTAGTAAATAGTAATAAAGAAAACTCTATTCCTGGGTTCTATTCTACTGTATCGTCTTATCATCTTTTCTAAATATTTTCTGTTTCAATTTATTCTTTGGTCCCGGTCCTTATGTTTTAGTTTGTACTGTCTCTTTTTGGTTTCTTCATGATATTGATGATAAAATAAGAACTCTTTGATAGTTTTCAATCTTCTCGTTTTTGTTTTTGAAAATTCTATTGATAAATTTAAAATATTGTTATATAATTAGAAAGTCTTAGGGTGTAACCAAGCCATTATTTGTAGTGACCCCTTTCAACTGCTCACTTTCCCGTTAGTTTTTATGGAGACTCCTGAATGGTTCCATATCTCTAATGTGCATCTTTTATGCAGGATTTCTTCCAGTTTAAAGCATGGGGATTGTTGAAATATAAAATTCAAAATCGAAATGAAATTTGGTAGTGAAAGCAGTAATGAATAATACCAATACAAGGAAATCAGTGGTTTGTGTTGTGCCTCATCACAAACCACTAAAAGCATATGTAATTCAAATTTTCTGTCAAGCTACTAGAGATTCACCTAAGAATAAATAGTTTACAGAAGTGAGTATTACTTGCTTTTGTCTTTCTATTGCAGTGTTATAAAACATTTTTTTTCTTGCAGAAATTTTCCCCAGGGAACCATCAGCGATATGATAGCTGATTCTTCTCAAGGCATCGCATTTGTGTGCAACAATATTGCAGAGTATGGAGGTGATCCTAACAGGTGAATAAACATTCTCTTAAGTTCAAAGTTTTCTCATTAAGGCATCCAATTTATTCTCTTGCTTTAAGTGTAATGTGCTTCTCATGATCAATAATGATACTTTTCCAATTTTTACCCATAGAATTTACCTAATGGGACAATCAGCTGGAGCACATATTGCTGCATGTGTAATAGTGGAGCAGGCAATCAAAGAGGCAGGTGAAGGAGAGAGTACATCTTGGAGTCTTTCCCAGATTAAGACTTATTTTGGTTTATCTGGAGGGTAAGTACTTGCAGAAAGTCCCTTTAAGTAAAAGTCTCTTCCCTTTCAATCTTAGTAGTTAAATATGCGCGCTATAGCAGAGCGTCGCATGGCGAGAAATCTACCATTTTTTGTGCTGTAGTGGCGCAAGCTTCATACTATATGCAAGGGCTCTCTCACCTTAATTTAACACAAACCCCCAAACCCCAGGGGCATACCCACCTCTTGAAAGGGCCGTGGACATGTTTTGCTGTTATTTGTCCTAAAGTGGTGTCCCTCTGTGATATTGCTCAACCTCCCGTTTTATTTTATCGGCAAATTGGTGATATGTTGTTTTTTGTTAGCGGATTCAAACCCGCGACCTTTTATGTTTCCATCCCTTCCACTTTTATCATCAAACCAACCTTACATCTCCTATCGCTCACTCCTTTTGTTATATCCTTATATTTTGTTCTTAAAGTTTTTCTTTAGTTTTTTTAATTATTTTAAACTTCATAGGTCGCCCTTGAAACAATTGCAGCATCATCCAGTTGGAGGCTTACAATTGTTTAATTTCTTGAATTTGTTGTTCTTGACTTGTGTGACGAGACTGATAACTATGATGTTATCCACATTTGAATTAGTCTTCTTTGCTGCGTTCTATATATATCTCTTTAGCTGGCTGTAGTACGTAGTGTTCTCTTCGATCTCATTTTTATGTTGATCAGAAATGAATAAGGACAAACTCAAGCCCCAAAGATAGCTTAAGTGATTAGGATTATTTAAGTCTTAACAAACACCTCTCACACAGGATTGGACATCTACAGTGACTTAACATCAATGCGGGATAGACTTCGATATCATATTCAAATTTGATTCCATCTAACTCAATCCAAAATGCTTTCTCAAGGGGTACCCATTTGTAAGGATTATTTTGGTTGACATTCCTACCCAATGTGGAGACATCTAATAATCTTCAATACCAAGTTTCTTTCTTTTCTTTCTTTATTGTTGGGATCAACTTTCTCCACTGTTTTTCATCCCGGGCGATATATTCCTCGTATCCTTGGAAAAATAAATGATTGTTTTGAATGAAGTTTTGTCCCTTCAGTTTGTGGCCAATGAACGGAAGACTAGGTGAAACAATCAGGCAAGCTATGTCACCGTACCCTTCTTCAAACTGCTGTTCGTTTGCTATGAATGGTGCGAAATGGAGTTTGAAATCAAGGATGGGTCATCATATTGTGCCTTGCTACCTTGCAGAAAATATTGTATTTTCCTTGATTTGACTGGTTACAAGATGGTAGAACAAATAGGGAACTAGGGCAACAACTGTACACTTATCTAGGCTTAAGTGAGAGGACAGACAATATCTCCTAACTGGTAACACAAACTTACAGATATGAGATAGTAGAGATACCCAAAATAGGAATGACGGAACTAATGTCTGCACTTATGAAAACAAAATAGGAGGATTCTGTTTTATCCTGATAAGCAGGAACTAATTGCCAATCTAGGGTTTGATCTTTGCAATTCAATTCTTCTAAAAAAATCGGAAGTTGAATTTAAGAATTAGCGGAGTCTGCGCATTAACGTCTCTTTAAGCTCAAAGGACTCGTAGAGTAGGGAGTCTGTTAGATATGTAATAAAGGTCGCTCGTGTTTTCACCTAACAATTTTGGCTATTGTTGTTGTTTGGTTCGTGAAAGATCTCATGATGTAAATGGAAATTTTGATCGTGATATTTTACAAAGTTCTACTAAGTTAGAAATGCAAATTTTAATGGTGATATGTTACAAAACCAGTTGTTCTACAAATATTAAAAATGTAAATTTTGATTGTAATATGTTCCAAAAGCGTTTTGTTTTAGTAATATAGGAGTGCTACACTGTTGTACATGTTACCGAATATAATGTAGCTCAAGTTGATCATGTATGGATTTAATCTTTTCAAATTATAATGGCAGAAATAAATGTCTCCAGAAGATATGTAATGTCTACTAATTCTTCCAATTATCGGTTTGATTTTGTTTCTTATGGTAAATGCAATGTTATATGATTGAGATTGTTTATTATATTACCTTGCAGCTCCCACCAAAGATAGTTGACTTAACACTAAGATTAACATAATTTATTTTCTGTATTTCCTTCTTAAATCAATTCAGGTATAATTTATTTAACCTAGTAGATCATTTCCACAGTAGGGGTCTTTATCGGTCCATCTTTCTAAGGTACACACTTCATTCATCTTCAAGTGAATTAATGTTCAGTTCCCTGCTTTTCGCTGTATTAGACTTTCAAATGACTACCTCTACCTTACAGCATAATGGAAGGGGAGGAATCCCTGAGACGGTTTTCTCCAGAAGTAATGGTTCAAGATCCAAACATTGGAAATGTCAATTCTCTACTACCTCCTGTAGTGCTTTTTCATGGGACTGGGGATTATTCAATACCATCAGATGCCAGGTTTGTGTCCGCCCGTTCTAAATATTTTGTAACAATGGAAAACAGGAGTATATATTGAGTGTCCTATTGAATTGTCGTGGTTTAGTTTTGCCGAGATAGCCTAGATGACCTTATTTGGGGAGCGTAGTGACAGATAATTACTGAATGATTTAGTTTTTAATGAGCATCTTACTTTAACTTCAAGTTATTGATAAGCACGTAGAAGAAACAGCACAGAAACGACCTATGTCAGTTCCTTGTCCCCCTGAAACTAGATTTCAGCAAACAATCAGTATAGAAAGAAAAAAAATTATGTAAGTGATGTAACGTGGTGATTAAGTTCAATTGTACGAGGAGATCTCACAATATCAATATCGTACTATTTGATGTCTTAAATTATCTCCTGGAATTAGTTTATCCATTTCTCTTGTTTTAATTTTTTTGGGTATATCTCCATACTTATCTGCTCTCGTATGACGTTTGAGTTCATTACTGTCAAAATGGGCATACTATTATAAGTGCGCTGTTAATGATCAACATAAGGTATAACAAGCATTCAAAAACCTACGGGATTTACTGTGGTATCTGACGAACTTCAGAAATTGAAAAGGCATTCTCAAGTTATGTGGTTGTTTAAGCTCTTTGAACCTTTAGGAAAAGATTGCACCTTATGTGGTTGTTTAAGTGTGTTTTTTGATTGAGTGAATACTGATGAAGTGTGAGGTTGGAAATGGAAATACATAATGGTAACAAAGTTAAATTGTAAGCATTTTATAAGCGACAAAGCTGAGAAGAGCTATTGCTGATATATGACCAAATATATTTAGAATTAATTGAACCTTAAGAAATATTCTAGCAAGAATGTTTTCTTACGTACTAAACTTGGTTAAACTGTTAGAACCCGTTTTTTAAAAGGTTAAGTTGAAATGTGCGCATGTAATGCTTTTGCATGGGTTATAAAGTAGGCTTTAATCCTGTATATCCTTCAATGGGCTACTAGAAGAAATTTACCACTTTGAATGGTGGGTATTTACATTATGTAGCAGCGAATTGTCATTATAGTGCAAGTAATTCGGTTGTCTTCCTATTGAAGCATCCTCTTTAAAAAAAATTCGGATGTTTTCGCTGCTAGACTTTGACTAACATACTATTTTATACAGTAAATCATTTGCTGAAACTCTTAAAAGAGTTGGAGTGACGGCTGAAGCAATTATGTACGATGGGAAGACTCATACAGATGTGTTTCTACAGGTATTTGGTCACTCTGCTTCTCATCGATTTTGATAAATCTGTTCCTTTTCTTTATTGCCGAGACAACTCTACCATTTTTCAATAAGCAGGCATTGATGTGAAATGGTTATACATTTCAGGATCCGATGAGAGGTGGAAAAGATGACATGTTTGAAGATTTAGTAGGATATATCCACGCTGGTGATGCTGAGGCCCGTGCCAGAGATGCAGAGGCTCCTCCAAGGAGACGCCTTGTGCCTGAATGCATGTTAAAACTCGCTCATAGCGTTAGTCCATTCTAGTCTCCAACTAACATTCTTTCTCCATTTTATTATTTTTCTTTGTACATAATCTCATTCACCTCCTAAATTAATTTTCAACATTCCATTCTATTACTAGATTTAGCAATACAAGTAGACTCAAACATTTGCTTCTCATTAATGTTCAATTTTTAATTAAACCTAACTTCACTCAAAAAACTATCCTATTAGTGTGGCCAACTCTTTTTTTTTTCAACGTTTTAAAAGAAGATTAATTTTTAATAAATTTCAAGTCTCAATAATTCAACTACAGTAAAACTTTAATTGATAGGATTAATACGTTAACGATTATTAAATAAATATAATATAATTTTGTTCAATTGAAATTCTGAAATAATAATAGTAACATCTATGCATACATAATAACAAAATAATAAATTAATATAATATTAAGTTATAAGAAATTATTTGACATGATTTCTTTAGAAAGTGATTTGAGTTTTCAAAGTATAATTTTTCATAATTGTATCACACAAGTTTGAGTTGGTTCGATGTTTGTACCATTCTTTCGAAGAAGATATAGTGAGTAAAATGAGGTACTAATTTAATTAGACATCAAAATTTTGTAAAATTAATGGTCTGTTCTATGTGATGGAAATAAATGAATCAAGTCATTAAACTGTAGAATTCCTTGGCTCATATGGCTCAATAATATTTAAGAAACAGAACCGTTAATAATGAGTTTCAAACTCTCGTTTTTATTAATAAATAAAAAATAATTTCATTTCTTTTTAGTTTTAATTGTATGGAATAAAGCATCCATATTGTAACATCCGATATTAGTATATCAATATTATTAAATATCACAAATAAGATATTAAACATAATAATTAATATATATATTTATTTAGTTGTTCACATAACATACGAGCGATTACAGTAGATAAACAAATTACAAACCAAACAAAAAACATGATAAATTAGTGATCATAACAATTCATATTAATAATCAAAACATATTATATAAAAATGACATTGATCTCCATTAATATAATATTTAATATCCTATATCAACAATCAAATATCCATAATACATTTACATTTGACTCTATTTCTATAGAACTCGAGTAATGAGTAGACTAAAAAATTATGCACCTATCGTATGATCTTACACTCCTAAGAACACAAATATAACAAAATAAATTCTTAATACCTGAATGATTCAATCATGTTTATATCAAAACACTGTATTGTAGGAATCTTTTTTAATATACCATAAACTCAAAATTAAAACAATTTAACATTTTAGAGTTTCAAAAGTAAAAGACCCTTCCATTGACAGTCAATAAAGAAAAATCTTAATCTCTTGAAGATTTCTCTGCTCGGTTAATGATTTTTCACGGAAAAGGTTTTTACCCAATTCCAGGTTCTTTTATTGTTTGAATTATATAGGTTTCGTATTAATAGTATTTTTATTTTGTTTTTGACAATTTTTTTATTTTAGTTTGAACATTCCAATTGTCTTATTTAATTATATTTATTTTTGCTGTTAAAAAAATTGTAAGTTTTCTCACGCTTAAGTATAACTTTTCTTTATAAAAGTGTGTGGCCTAAATTCATAAATAAAGCTTAAGAAAACAAAAGAAGAAATTACGAAACCTTTAACTTTTTTTTAATTGAATAGATTCTTTACGAGAATTTGATTATAAAAAATGTGAGATTGTTTCAGAAAATAACTTGGCAAACAAAAATATATTTTTTTTACTAAATTCAACTAATAATTTGAAAAAAAAAATTAATGCATTGAAGTAGTTTTAAACATTTTTGTTAAATAGGACTTAAACTAAAATTAATATATTTATAACATTTTTTTATATAATATTTTGATCTTTAATATACATAAAAAATACAATTCATTTTTATATTAAAATGAAAAGAATAAAAAGATAATAAAAATTATAATATATATATATATATGATGAAAATATGTATTTAAACTAAATTCTAAAGTTAATAAACTTTAAATGTAAAATAGTAATAAACAGAAATCAACAAGAAAAAATAATACTAAAATATATTAAAAAGTAAAAATATGTCGAGAAATTATAACAAAGTAAAATAAATACTAAATATAAAAAAAACTTGAATAATAAATCGATAAAATTGACGAACAACAATACTAATATTCTCTTTCTGATTTTCATGTTCGATTTTTACGAGAGTTTTGTTAGATGATATTTTTTCACCCTTATGAATTTATTATGTTTTTCCAATAATGCACTAATAAA